GAAGGTCACCAGGGTGGAAAGCCCCGGGCACCTAGTAAAGACAATTGTAGGGTCGGACCTCATCCCCAGGATGACCTTTCCTACACTAGAATATCATTGGTCATGTGATTTGGACCTTCTGACCTTTTCCTCCCTAAAAATAACATCTAGATCTCATTGGTATTTCAGCTCCAGACTCAGAAAAGCAGCAAAACCAGACCAGCAACCCCATGGCTAACCTAGAACCAGCTACATTGAATAATGACCCCCTGTCCAGTGGAAACCCCAACCCTGAAAGGACATACCTGGAAAGCTGCTGAATACTCTATTGAGATCTTCTCCTGAGATCTCTAAATTCTCCACCCTTAAAATCCCTAGGACAGGGGACCCCTAGGGCCCTCCCAGGAGTACACCATGCCTTTCCCTTCCTCCCCGGTGTGGTACTATTAACTTCCTCAGTTCCAAGCTCCAAGTGCCTTTCCTTTGCCTCTATAATTTGTTTCCTAAGCCCATTTCTTCTATAAATTACTTCTCCCTCTGTGATGTTTCAAACAAAGATTCTCTGAATTATTTCCTCGTCAGAACTCAAGTACAAAGATTTTGAACCCAAAATCTTTGACCCCACCACTCTAACACCTGGTGTTCTTCCTGCCACTGCCAACAGTGCCAGGCTGGGAACATCCTAGGCACTGAGTAAAGACTCACTAAACTAAAATAAGTTATTATATTTGCCAATTAAGAAAAAGAATAATTTGCCCGGCGAGTATGGCTCAGTGGATTAAGCGTCTCCCGTGGACTGAGAGGTCCCCGTTGGATTCCTGGTCAGGGCACATGCCCAGGTTGCAGCCTCAATCCCCAGTAGCGGATGTACAGGAGGCAGATGACTGGTGTTTCTCTCACATCGATGTTTCTATCTCTCTCTCTCGCTTCCTCTTTCTCTAAAAAAAAAAAAAATCAATAAAAACCTATTTTAAAAAAAGAATAATTTGAGGCATGCTAAAAATGTGGTCACAATAACTCAAACGTTATTTTTGAGGTAAACTGAAAACAACAAGTGAAACCATAAGCCTAGTTTACAAAAAGAAAAGAGCCATGAGAATGAGGATTGAGTTTCAAGGGAAGTTTTCTTATTTGTTTTCACATGAGAGAGACCTAGTACAATTTTTTTTTTTTTTTTAAGAGAGAGAGGAAGGGAGAGATAGAAACATTGATGTGAGAGAGAAACATCTATCAGCGGTCTCCTGCACTCCCCCTATAGGGGATCAAGTGCACAACCCTGGTATAGACTAGGAATACTTAGGTAAACAAAACAAATCCCCTCCCCTTAGGAAAATTGTGTTACTACCTCTTGATTCTTAAATTTCTTGAAGAAAGACTCCCTGAGCTCCCTGTATTCTAGTCAGGGCTCCTCTGTGCTCTGCCTGTGAACATGCCACACAGCCTTACTTTAGGTGATCTGGTCTATCACTTCCTATAGGCTGGATCTTCCTCCAAGACAAGGACCTTGCTCTGGTCCTTGCATCCTCAGAGCCTGGCAAAGAATGAGGTGGGAAGAGAAAGACTGAATCTAGTAAATAGGTCAACTCTACACAGGAAAGTTTACAGTTGCTTGTTTTAACCTTAGAAGGTTGTTTATACACTAAGCAATTTGCTCAGTCACAGAGAAGCTTGGTCTCAGTAGAGCTGAGAGATGGGCCCTGAGTTCTTGATGATTCTGATGTTTGATTACAAGCACAATGCCATCTGAATATTTTCATTTTAAATAAATAAATGACTATTGCTAGACTTTCTTCTGTGCAGTACCTGAAAGATTGGAGAGATACTGGTAAAAATAAGAGATATTACTTCAGGATTTTTTCTTAATGAGATGTGATGAACTGTCACTATTGACTAAAATCAATTATTCTCTGAAATTTTCTTGGATCTTTCCTTTCTCCTTATGCTGACAACCATCCCCCACCCACCAAGGCTAAGTGAGTCCTCAGTTTCCACATGTCTCTTCTGACTAGACCATTTTCTGTTCCTCCATCTGAGGGACCATGGAGCAATAATAACCTCACACTGCCCCCTCCTGGCCCCACTCACTCCCTAACAAGGAGCACATATATCCCCTCTTGCCTGACCCTCTTTGCTCCCACTCCTGTAAAAAAAGGAAAACAACAAAATGCCCCCACAAAAATCAAATGTCTTTATTTTATATAAAAAAAAGTTTGTACAGTTTTAGTTCCTATGTTAAGAAAAAAAAAATCCCTAAAATTGCCATAATGTTTAGATTCACTGCAAACTGTAAAAACAAGCTTTTATATATTAAAAAAAAATTTACATTTTACAATTTTCTACATGCATGCACAAAGTCTCAGTTCTTTCTGTAAACCCCACCCCCCCAAAAAAAAAAGAAAAAGAAAAAAAATCTAGATCCAACAGTAGAAAATTCTACATTTACAATCTCACTTGGAAGGGACTCAAAAAGCCCCCTTCCTTTTGCACACAGAAGAACGAATCACAACAATCACACACCAGGACCAAGTCCATCAGCAGATGCTGCCCGTGGGGAGGGCAGAGGAATGAGGAGACAGACTGACAGACACCATGGAGGGTCAGGGAACTCATCTGGGCCCAACAGAGAAGAAGCACAAACTCTGGGAAATGGATGTTTGAGATGAGAAGGTCAGGGATCTCAATGTCTTGTCGCAGGGTTTGCAAAAGGAATACAGAAGTGGGACTTGGGAAATGAGAAATGAAGGGTTGAAATGGTGGGGGATGGGAAGAAACAAGAGAGACTAAAGGGAAATAAACAAGAACAAACAGATCACGACAGGTAGTTCAGAGAGAGGGACCAATGGGAACAGCCACAGAGTGGCGAGGTAGGTGAAGGACTGAGGCACAGTGTCCTGGTATAGAGGGACAGAGGACATGTGTTGCAAAGGGATGAAAAGGAAAGCCCAGTAGGCACGATGGGGCTGCACTCGGATGCCATGTAGTCAAAGCAAGAAAGAATGCAGGAAAGACCCAGCCACAGTATCCTCTGTGGTGGGGGTGGGGGGGAGGACAGAGGTGGGCACACTCACAGGGAGTATGAGAAAACCCAGGGAGTCACGGGACAGGCAAAGTCAAGGACACTGCTCAGAGGGACTGGGCCAGCTGCACGCCCCACGGCAATTCACAGCATGAAGACAACCTCCCATACAGGAGAAACAAAGGACAAGCACAGCCATACACTTAACAATTCATCCTGATGTTTTTTTAAAAAATAATAATAATCAAAGAAGACAAAGATACCACAGTTCTGACGCAAAGGACCAAAACACTACCATTCTCAGTCACGGCCCTTAGTGCTTATATAGAGAGTTGGGGGAAATTTTTCTTTTTGTTTTAGGAAAAAGGAATGAAAAAATCACAGTGATTAAAAACATGGTAGGTTCTTAAAATAAACACTCCCTGCCCCTAACCTAGGCAGCAACTAAGATCCCAAATAGTTTCCTTCTCCAACTCGGTCTTCAAACCACACTCCTGCCCACAAAGGCAATGACCCCAATCACCATCCAGGCCCCATTTTCCAGGATAGTGAGGTATTTAGAAATGTGACCCAGAGGGGGCTCCTCCAAGATCAGGTCCTTGAAAAGGTACTTTCCCAGTACCCCCAAGAGAGGATGTATTTCACTCAGATCTATCCAAAAATCCATAGCTCCAGCTAGAGGTGGACTTCTAGGCCCTGCCTAAGTCAGCCCCCACAACCACCCCTGTGGGAATAAGGTAAGCACTGGCTGAAGAGCCCTTCTCTAGTAAGTTGTGGGTGGGCATATGTGCTTTTTCAGAAAGGACAGCAGGAGAAACGCCAATCACTAGGCTCCACCCAGCCCAGGACTACCACAACAGAGAGGAAGCCTCCCTGCTGAGACGTCAACAGGGATCTTACCCACGTTGCTCTCTGCAAGACAACCACCAATGAGTTTTCCAGGGAAAAGATGGGCCTGTAAGAGGCATTGTGATTTATTTAGAGGACAGACCCAGGGGCACACTCCAGCCCAGCCACCAGAAGTCTGCCACGTGGATCCTGGCTGGAGGTATCTGGATGCTTCCTAGTTCTATTCCCCTTGGCTAAAACTACATGATTTAAAGGCTCAGATTTACACTGAATATATGTATCAGAGGGCCAGTGAATTTTGCTCAAAATGAGGTGGAAATTCTTGAGAATTTAGACTAGGTGCAAAGACTATGAAAGCTAAATGGGGTAAGGGGCTAAGTACCCACAAAAGGCAGCAATCCTGGTCTTTCACCCCAGTACAGAGGGAGACCAGAGCCCAGAGAACCAGGCAGAGGGAGAAGAGGAGGGGACCCTGGCCAGCCAAGGAAAAGAGACCCCTGAGACAAAGAGGTGGACTTAAGGCAGGGGATGAAGAGGAGCTGCTGGCTCCTCCCAGAAAGAGATGAGACAACAGGTCTCTTGGAGCTGAAGGAAGTGCGTAGACGAGACTGGGAGTGGCTGGTGAAAGAAAGAAAAATGTTTGCCTAAGACCACTGGGGCTGGGTTAGAGTCCACAGGCAACTAATTCTGTGCAGGAGTCTACATGCCATCCTTTACTAGAAAGGGGGACCTGGCCCACAGGTAGGAAGGAAGGCGAGGGCAGGTTTAGAGGGCAGAAATCAGTGATGGTCACGGGGTGGGGGGATGCGGGGATCTCCTGCCCTTCCCTCAGGGCCTGCCTAGGAAAGAGCCATAGGAAGAAAGGACCCAGGAAAGGAGGTCACAGATGGTTTCTCCCTCAGTTTGCCCATGGTCGCAGGTAACCATACAAGTCAGAAACAGAAGGTGGAGATTTCAGGGTAAAGAAGGGATCTTCCCTTGATCTGAGTATGTGTGGCTGGATGTGGGAGACTCTAACAGCTGGAAGCAAATAACCCTGGCAGGGGACCCATAACTTTGGGTGGTGTGGGAGGACACGGGTATACCCTTGCCCCAAAAACTCAGGATCTGTTACAGATGGAGTAGCAGGAGGGGCGAATCACCTGCTGTCTGGAGGACTCAGGGAACTGCTGCCCTGGAGGAGTTTGGCACCGTGGTTCTCTGAAGTCATGTCTGTGTCCCCCAGAGACAACTTCTCAGGAGCCACTGGAAAGAACAGCCACAAGAACCTGGGTTCGAGAGTGGGGGCTCAGGAGAGCCCTGTGCACTTTCAGAAAAGACAGTCATCCGGGGAGAGGAGAGGGACAGAGGCACGGATTCCTGCAGGGCCTGGAAAGATACAAAAGTGAGGGGGGCAGAAAAAGGGGAACCAGGATGGTCTCTCCAGGGTTCACATAGGGTGAATGAGGAAGAGGGGAAGAGACAGGGTAAGGGTAAGTTAATTTAAGTAAAAAAAAAAAAAAAAAATTGGCAAGAGGGAGAGGGGCTGCAGGAAAGGGGCTGGGCCTGAGCATCCAACCCTTCCCACCGCCCCAGGAGCCCCGTCTCCCACTCCCACCGCTGTTAGTCACACCGAGGTCTCAGACTGCAGCCGCATAACAAACTTGTGCGATTTGGGGTCCACAAATTCCTCGGAGAGTTTGAAGAATGGAACCTTCTTGGTGCTGACCACCAGGCTGAAGTCCTGGCGTTTTAACAGGAAAACAATGCCATCCTTAAGCCCATTGGTCACTGGCTCCTCGCTCACCAGTGTCCACTGTTTGGCCAGCCACCGTTCCTTGTGGTACTGGATGGTTGGTCCGGCTGCCAGGTACCGCTCCAGGAAGGCCTGAGCAGGAGAGAGGCAGCTGTGTAGGAAGCTCTCCCACCCTCCCACCCACCATCCTGCATCCCCTAGGGACACAGCTTCCAAAGACAACCAACATGCCCCAGCTCACTCTGCATATGATCGTAGAATGTCACAGAGGAAGACGCCTGAGATCACCTGCTTCAGACCCTTGCTTTATAAATGAGGAAGTGGGAGCCCACAGGGTTGACGTGGCTCAGCGGGGTCAGGACTGAAACCTGGCCCTCCTGACACCTTCATCCTCTGCTCTTCCCACTTACACCATGCAGTGACCCAGGCAAGCCCTCCGCATTCCTCCTTCCTCTCTATCCAGCTGCGTGGTTGGTGACAAGCAGGTCTGCACCAGCAGAAAGCTAGAGGTGTCATGGTTAAACACCTAGTCACCCATTCCCCAAGGAAGCCAGTCCAGAAAGTAGAGTTGAGGGATGAGTGATGGCTTAAAATGGTTCAAAAAGAACAAGAGACCTGGTGGAGGTGAAGGGGTTACTGTGGGACTTTAGATCTGGAAATCTCAAGCTCTTCTAGAGATGAGAAATAGGTATCAGCCATTCCCAAAACAGTTCCAAAGCTTCCGCATCTCCTCACCACTAAGAACTTTACCCTTCGCAGAGATGGGATGGATGGGGTAGAGATGAGAGAAGAGACTATAAGAAGGTGGAGATGGGGGGTGGGAGGTGGAGAGTAAGAAAAAAAGAGAGAATATGGGGAAAGGGAGCTGGAAAAGAAGGGACCAGAAGCAGGAAAAGCAGAAGGACTCCGAGGGCAGAGCAGGCCCACCTTGGGCGTCATGTCGTGTGTGATGCAGAACTCCAGGTGCTGCAGTATGCTCTCCATGGTGTGGTAAGGCTGCTGCTTGGTGGTCCGGAGGTACTTCTGCATGGCACGGGCCATGGATGCGAAGATGGCCTGGGCTGCCTCCCGGGGGTCCATCACCTCCCTGGGGTTCTTCTGCTCCTCTTCCTGCAGCCGCTTAATGTGAGTGAAGGCCTCCTCCACCGCTACCACAAGCCTGGGGGACAAAAGGGGTCTGAACCAGACACCCACCTCTCATCTTCCCCATAACTCTGCCCTCTGGTAGCCAGAACAAGGTCAGGTCTTTGTGCTCTTGAGGAAGCAATAGGAACACATCCACAGCCTAGGGCTGGGCTCTGGGGACTATTTCTATTCACATAAGCATATGCTATTGGTGGAAGGGGAGGGCTTTTCCCCACTGAGGACAGGAAAGAGCTGTAGAGCTCAATGAGCACAGCCCAGGGACTCAGAAAGGGCACTCTAATGTCAAACCCAGAGACAACTAGGAATTGTGCTATGGGAAAGACCAGCATTGCAGCCAGCCTAAGAAGAGCCTTCTTTTTTTTTTTTTTTTTTTTTTTTTTTTGTGGTATGTGCCCCTAGCAGGAACTGAACCTGGGACTCTGGTCCGCAGGCCGACGCTCAACTGCTGAGCCAAACTGGCCAGGGCGAGCCTTCTTAAATAAGACGCTCACATCACATTTCAAGGGGGAAAATGAACAGATATAACTACATCACAGTGACAGATTTCTATTCAACCACGACAGCATGGACAACATTAATGAACATCTCTTGGGGTGGAGTTGGAGGGGATGCAAAGAATTTGCAAAAATCAAGAAGAAAAAAGCAAGAACACTTCAGAAAAATGGGCAAAGGAGATGAACAACAATTCACAGGAGGCCTAAAAGGCTGAAAAAATATATTAGTCACTTGCTAGTAATTAGAGATATTTAAAATGTTAGTAAAATATTACTTATCCAACAAAATGAAAAAATTAGGAAAAGGACTACAGTCCAAATACTGGTTAGGATGCTGTGAGTATTCAATGAACTCTCTGCAGAGAAAGGACACAACAAGCTGGATGCTGTAGGCAACACCGGTGAATCTCCGAAAACAGTGTTAAGGGAGAAAACAGGAAAAATAAGCCAATTTACATTAAAAGCAGAGACACACAAAGCAACACCAATATTCAGAAGCCCTTCAAGTAGCTTGGAGCGGGACGCTGGGCTAAGTGAATGTGTGCACCTGTGTGTATCAACTGCTCCTCTGTTCTTCTGCTTCTCCTAAGTGTCTCGGGAAAGCTCCTTTTGAAATGATCCTTTTGTCTCAGGTGAACCAAAGGAGAGTTTTCTTCTGCTTGCAACCCAGGTAATGGGGAAGGAAAGGGTCCCATAAGCCAAGAATGGTGGTGGCTGTGCAGATCCGAAGACCTTAGGCAAGGCAGAAGGTAAGGGGGCAGGGAACCTCTCTAGTTTCCCTCCCACGAGGGTCTTCTATGCCCACTGGAAACATGCTGGAATGTTGCAGAAATGGGACTGATGATCTCTGATCTACTGCAGGGGACACCAGGCTTGTGGAAGGACAGGTTAAAGGCTACCTTCCTCCCTTGAGACCTGGAGATCTGTGTGGGAGGAGGAGCCTGAGGTCTCCTCCACCCTAGGGAAACCCCGACAGACCCAGGTGGAACATGGCACCAGTAGGCACCATAGATGATCCTTGAGGTGTGACTTACATTCATATAATAATGTGAATGAGCAAAACAGGGAAGTGAAAACCGCCTTTAAGAATACCAAGATATGGCAGCAGACCCTCATTTTTTGCAGATATAATGTACCATCTGCTGAGCAAGTCTTTAAGGTCTGCTGGGGGGTCTCGTCAGCCTCAGCCCCCGCTGTGGCAGGGGAGGTTCACATCCTTTCACTGGGTCCCTGTGGTAAGCGAGATTCAGAGATGCCCCCATTCACCTCTGCCAGGTTCCCACTCCCTGGTGATTCCATAACCTCAGTACATTTTGAGGATAAAATTAAAGCACCAAATCAATTGACTTTAAAATACGAGATTGTTATTGCCCAGCCAGTGTGGCTCAGTCGACTGAGTGTCCTGGTTAGATTCCGGGTCAGGGCACATGCCTGGGTTGTAGGCTTGATCCCCAGTAGGGGGCATGCAGGAGGCAGCCAATTGATGTTTCTTTCTCATCGATGTTTCTCTCTCTTCCTCCCTTTGTATATAAAAAAAATCACTAAAAAATATATGTATATATATTTTTATCCTCACCCAAGGACCCTTTTTTGCATTTATCTTCAGATAGAGCAGGAGGAAGGGAGAGAGAAATGTCAATGTGAGAGAGACACATTGCCTGGTTGCCACCCACACGACCCCAACCAGGGCCAGGGACAAACTGCAACCAAGGTACGTGCCTTTAGTGGGAACCAAACCCGGGACTCTCTGGTCCGCGGGCCGATGCTCTAACCGCTGAGCCAAACCAGCCAGGGCTAAAAACATAATTTAAAAATAAAATAAAACATGTGATTGCTATGGTGGGCCTGATCTTAACACATGAGCCCTTTCAAAGCAGTTTTTTTCGGGCTGGTGGCAGAAGACCTGTTCCCACTGGCCTCAAGAAAAAAGCAGACTGCGTGTTGTGAATTGCCTACAAGGCCAGGTGACAAGGTTCTGCCAGCAACCAGTGAGCCAGGAAGACAACCCAGGCTCAAGTTTCAGCCTGTGAGACCTGCACGGAGGTCTAGTGAACCCCACCCGACACAGGGAACTGTGAGGTGACAGATGTGTGTTGATTTACAGAGCTGCCTTCGTGGTGATTTGTTCTGGAGGCAACAGAACACGAATACACACCCACACCCTTATCACTGCTCACTCATCTATTTCCAGTAGTTACAGAAACCTGGTCTTCCTCTCTTGTGCCCCCAAACCTACCTGGCCCTCCGCTTGCGCACCCTCCGCTCGTGCTCCGCCTCCTCATAGTAGTACTCGTTGTGGCTGTTGTCCCGCCTCCGGGCTGCCGCAGCAATCACAGCCCGCGACTGGCCCGTGGAGTTGTTGGTGCTGTTCTCTGCACAGGAGCAGGAGAGAGGTGATGGTCACTTTGGAGCATGGCCTTGCTCCTCACTCCAGGAAGTCTGGAGACAGCAGCCTGACACATCCTGAGGAAGCTGTGCCCACCCCCAGCGATACCTCCTGTCCCCAGCCCTCGTGCCCCTCCTGGGAGGGGCCCACAGGAAACAACACGGTGGCACTGGAGGCAGAGCTGTTCCTCGCCAGGGCAGGAGGTTCTGGAGCTCAGAGAGCCAAGGGCTTAGGACCAGAGCTGATGAGCAGACGCAAGGAGCCAGACTGGGGGGGTACACCATGGCATAAAGGGACAGCAAGTAGGATCAGCAGCTAAGACCAGCCACCTGGAATCAAGGGAACGGACAGAACAGAAGAGGCTGGGACGAGGGCAGAGGAAAGGAGAAAGCAAGGGAAGGAGGGTGCGAGAGAAACGGGGAGGAGATGGTTTGGAATCCTGCTTGGGAAGAGACCAGGAGGGCTGAGGAGCAGGGCCGCTCACCCTCTCCGAGGGAATACACCTTGAAGCCAGACACTTTCTTGGCCAGGACGGACTTGGGCAGGTTGAGAAGGGCAGGGTTGTAGACAGGAAAGTCATGGTAATACTTCTCCAGGATCCACACTGCCACGCGTTGGATGCTGTGGGGGAGACACAGGAGGGGAAGGGAGAGGGACAGACAAGGGGCGTAGGGGAAGGGATACATCAGGGCAGGTTGGTAGGGCAGGAAAGGACACAGGACGGGGACAAGCTGCTTCCAAGAAGCCTGGCTCAGGGCCTGAGGTCTACTTACCAGGTTCCCACGCCTTCCCCAGGGCTGGGCCTCCTAGTCCTTCCCTGCCGTACTGAAGCCCAGGGGAGAAAGGGCATTGGGCCTGGGTCCCCAGCCAAGGGTCACTCCTCCCCTTCAGGACTCCCCCCAAGATTTCCTATAGGACCAGGAAGTGCTACTGACACTGTGTACAGTGGGGAGCATCCTGCCCACAAGTGTGGGTGGGAAGGCTGAAGAGCTCTCCTCATGACCTTTTGCTCCGAGGGTCCCTCCTCTGGCCAGCTCAGCTCACTGACCACTCTCCCTGTGCTCACTGGAGGCTGCGCCTCCACAGAAGAAATCGACAAGCAATCCCGAAGCCTGTTTGTGCCACAACTTCCGCCTCGCTGGCCATCCTCTCTAATCTCTCTGTCTGTTCGTCCGTTCACTCCCACCCACCTTGCCTCAGGACCCTGCGCACCAAGCAGCAAACCGTTAAAAACATACTGTGTGCCAAGCACTGAACTGCTTCCCACACGGCCCTCCTAGCCCACCATCTCCAGCCCTACCATCGCAACCCCCGGCCCTGCAGTCCCCCCGCCTCCACCCCATGCCCATGTGCTTGCGCCCAGGCGCCCATACCTGAGATGGCCCACGTTGTAGAAGCGGCTGGCCCCGTCGGTGGAGCGCACAACCTTGAGTGTGAACTGAGGCTGCAGCTGGCGCAGCTCCAGCAGGACCACCGCCAGGTAGTGCACAAACAGCAGGGCATCCACCAGCGACACCGCAAACTGCACCACGCCCTGGTAGCTGCGCTCCCGGGCGTCCAGGATGCGCACCCCATAGAAGAGCCAGTAGGAGACAACAAGCAGGAAGACGAGCACCATGAGCAGGGCACGCAGCACGAAGACACGGGGCAGCGAGGCCTTGGGACGGCGGAAGAACAGGGCCCAGCTGCCCAGCAGCAGGATGAGCAGCTTGAAGGCCACGGAGATGAAGAGGCCCTCGCAGGCCGTCCCGCAGGGCTCCAGCTCCTCCCGCCACAGCAGAGGGGGCAGCAGCAGGAAAGCCAGTGGTGTGAGGAAGGAGAGCAGCGCCAGCGTGGTGCCGGCGGCCACCCCCAGGTGACGGGAGCAGTCCAGTGGGACACTGTCCTCCATGTCCTTGGCGATTCGCGTGAGGTCATCGTGGGAGATGCTGTGCTCTGAAGTACCTGTTACTACTGTAGTCGTTTCCCCCCAGTTGTCATCCTGCAGCAACGGCGGTGAAGAGGACAGGAGGAAGGACCAGGGGGAAAGACAGAGAGGGAAGCATGGAGAGGAGAAAGAGAGAGGAGAGAGGGTAGTCAGCCACTGTGAAGCCATCAAGGTTCAGACTGAGCTCCACTGTGTCCAAGCCTGGCCTCTGCAAGAAGAGACATCTGAGACCTGGGCCCTGGGGAGCTTCACACTGGTCAGCATGACAGAAAAAACTGCACATGCACAGATGCCCCTCAGAGCAGGGGCACAAGAGAGAAGCCGAGGGCGCTGCTCAGACAATGACTGGGACCTGAGGTCACACTCATCAGGCAAAGTAGGCAGGACACCTGCAACGCCAGGCTGAGCAAGGAAACCTGTTCTCCAGGCCCTGAGAGCCCCTGGAGGTTTCTGACTAGGGGACTGACAGGACAAAAGCAGCGTGGTGAAGAAAAGGGGACACCAGGGGAAAGGAGAATGATCAGTGCAGGGTGTGGGGACATGGTGCAGACTAGGGCCTCTCTGGCTCTGTGTCTGCCCAGCCAGCTCTGCTGGGCCATCTACATGCCCACAGCACAGGGGCTGCCTGTTCCTGGAATAGGGGGTAGACAGGCTGAGGTCCCCAGAGGCCTTTGAGTGTGGTCCACTCAAGCTGTTTCTCTGAAGAGGCTAAAGGCCATCCCACGGAGGAGCCCCAAGACTACGAGTGGCCATCAGTGGCCATGCTCTTCACTCCTGGACAGCGTGGGGATATGGAGCCACAGCCTACACTCGGGACTGGGGATCCAGGACTGAGACATGGGGCAGGGCACATGAGAGACCACCTGGCAGAGCCCATGACTAGGAGATTGAGGAGGCTCCTCCCCCAAGGCCAAGAGAAGAGTCTGATCTGAAGACAGAAAGCAGATGCACTGACCACTTTCAGCTCAAGGAACAGGGTCCACTCCTTGCCCTAGTGTGACCCCCAGACACAACACCTACCCTTTCCCAGGATCAAGGCTTGGGAACTCCTCCCAACAGCAGGTGGGCCTATCACATCTCAGGGTCACTTCAAGAACCCAGGAGGCCAAGTCTCAGGGAGAAGACAGGATTGCGAAAGAGGGAGAAAAAACATTTCCATCTTGTATGGATCTGTCCCCAAGACCCAGGAATTCTCAATGTCAGTCACAGAGAGTTCTTGTGAGGAAAAAAGAGCTGGGAGTCTCCAGCCCCGTAAGATGCTCCCAAGAAGAGGAAGAATGAGACACGGGCAACCTAGAGTCATCTCACGTCCCAGCTCTGCCGTTTTGCACTGTGTTCTGCCTACTGACCTCCCTAGCAGGTGAGCAGAGCGGGCCACAGCATCTCTGTCCTGGGGAACTCTTCCAGCCCAGGCTCCAGCCCCAGCCTCACTTCTCCTCCCGCCCCCTTCTCCAGCCACTCCTCCCACACCTCCTTCACCCAACACCCAGGCGGTGCTCTTCTACGGGCCGACACCAGAGGGTGCCAGAGTGCCCTCATCTTAAGGCCGCAAGAAAAACTCGGTGCGGCCCACATTCCCACGCCCCATCCAGCACCCGCCCTCCTACTCTAGATTCCCAGGAGCCCGACTGACCGGCATTGGCCAGAGGAACCAGGGAGTTCCCACTACATAGCCTAGGTCACCCCCACCTCTCTGGAGATGAGGACGAAAGAGGTTGCTGCTTCCAAAGGAATTTCTACTGAAACTCCCTCAATTCCACTGAAGCAGGATCTGACCCTGGGACAGACACAGCATGCCTTTCCAGACCTGGATCAGCCTTCCAGGCCCTTCCCCTCTCTGGTGGACCTCCAGCTTCCCCAGGGTCAGTCCGGAAACACCTGACCTGCACCTCATCCCCCTGACGCTCACCCGCTCATCCCCTCGAGTGGACTCATTGTCCAGCAGGGGCTCCCCTGGAGCCTGGATTGTCACGGACTTATCCCCACGGCTCCCATCTCGGCTCTTAGAACGGTGTCGGTCCCGTCGGTCCCTGCAGCAGGAGGCCAGGGGAACAGGCACAGAAGGTCAAGGGGAGGACCTGGGTCTTTCCAGCAGCCCTCCCCCACCCCCACCCCCGCACGTACCCACCTCTGGAGCACTCCCAACCTCCCTCTGCCACCTGTGTCACCTGTGCTTGCGGGAGCTGCGGGAGTGGCCTGATTTGTAGGAATAGCCCGAGTACTGGGACTCGGTGTCCATGGCGTCTGAACGCCGTGCCTTGTAGCGCTCCAGGGCCACAGGCTGGGGCCTTTGGGGGGACCCCACAGCCACCTCCTTCAGCACTGTCTTCTTCAGGCCAAAAGGCACCTTCAGGAAATCAACCGTCACCCTGAGGGACTCTATTTTGCTGGACAGGTGGGCTTGTCTCAGAGAAAATCAAGCGACGCTCCTGGGAAGAGAAAGCAGCTGGTTAGGGGTAGCTGAGCTCCTGTAGGGGTGGGGAGGAAGACCATCCCAGAATGGCAGCCGCAGTAAGCTGCGGTGAGCCTGGCCACTGCTTGCGAACAGTTTCCTGCTCTATCCAAAGGACCAGTTCCTCTTCCTGCCCTGCATCCTGGAAAGAGCCCCCCCGGATTGTGCCAAGGGCTCAGGGTGGAGGGAAGATGTCAGCAAAGGCCTCCCAGAGTGACCCAACCCTGGAGGGGAGAGCCAGAGCAATGCTTTCCTAGCCAGGGAAACTGAGGCTCAGAGAGGGTAATGTTGGCCAGGCCGACAGTCTGGACCAGTGGAGACCCCAGAGAGCAGGAAGCAGCGACTTCTGTCCAGAAACTATCCCGGGCCTCTCCTGGTGAGTTTATCTGGCCAGCTGTGGGCTGAGAGGCAGCATCTTTCATTCGCACTTTCACATTCTAATTTTGCAGAGGACAATGACCTCTCCCTCCCACCTCTTCCCCAACTCTCACCCAAATCCTGCTCATTCTTCAGAGCTGGCCCCCAGCCCTTCTCAGAAGCCCACTCCACCCCCAACTACTCTAGCACCCAATCTTCTATCTTCCCCTCTCCCCCCAACCCCGCCAATCATCCCCATGCACTGAGTACTTATGACTGAACTCCACTCTCCCTTGGACACCTGCTATGAGTCATCAACTCTTCCTGGGGCGCCATTAGGAACTGTGCGCAGTGGGTATCGGGGAGTGAAACAGGCTGTTTACAGTTTAGCAGGAGAGGCGTGCACTGAGCAAGTAAACAGGTGAGTATAAATGACTAATGATAGTACTGATGGAAGGAGAAGACAAGGAAACTATGAGAGACCACTGGGGAGCAGGGGCTACTTTATTTATTTATTTTTTTCTTTATTGATTTTAGAGAGAAAGGAAGGGAGAGGGAGAGAGAGATAGAAACATCGATGAGAGAGAACATCGACTGGCTGCCTCCTGCATGCCCCCCACTGGGGATTTGGCCCACAACCTAGGCATGTGCCCTGAACGGAATCGAACCAGTGACCCCTTGGTCCATGGGTTGATGCAGCCGATAAGCCACACCAGCAGGGCAGGGCTACTTTAAATTGGGCGGCTCTGGAAAGTCTTTCTGAGAAAACACCTGAGCCTGAAGGAGAGGAGTTTACCAGGCAGAGTGGAAAGGAAGCCGTGGAGCAGAGAGTCACACGTGGGAAGCCAAGGGCAGTGAAGAGCTCGGGTTTTCAAGAACTGGAGAAGACCAGTGCAGCCGAGGAAGGGAGAGGGCAGTAGAGGTGGCAGCTGCAGAGGCAGCCAGGGCCCGGGTTCTCCCAGGATCCGGGGCCCCGTGGAGAGCTCGGGTTTTCAAGAACTGGAGAAGACCAGTGGAGCCGAGGAAGGGAGAGGGCCGTGGAGGTGGCAGCTGCAGAGGCAGCCAGGGCCCGGGTTCTCCCAGGATCCGGGGGCCCGTGGAGAGCTCGGGTTTTCAAGAACTGGAGAAGACCAGTGGAGCCGAGGAAGGGAGAGGGCCGTGCAGGTGGCAGCTGCAGGGGCAGCCAGGGCCCGGGTTCTCCCAGGATCCGGGGGCCCGTGGAGAGCTCGGGTTTTGTTTCAGGCAGCGGGAAGCCTGTGAAGGACTGTAGCTATCCGACCTGAACCGGCAAGAGGGAAAAGTAGAAACAGGGAGATGCATAAGGAGGCTCCCGCAGTCACACAGGCTTAAATGGGCAGAGCCGCAAAGGAGGCGAGAACTAGTGACGCTGAAGACAAATGGTGGCCGGGGCCACGGGACCTAGTGAGGACTGGCCGAAGTGGGGCAGAGGGTCCAGATCTCGGGCCTAAGAGCAGTGCCACTGTGAGGGAGGGAAGACTGTGGAGGAAGCACGTGTGGCAGGGAAGACGACGGGTTGCATCCCCAGCATGCTGAGTTCATGGCCTCCAGGCAGTCAGTCGAGTGGGCAGCTGGTTTCAGAGGAGCTGGACTCAGAAGCCGGAGCGTCAAGGTCATGGGAATGAATGGAATCACCTAGGCAATTAAATTAAAGAAGAGGTCCCTGAGAACCCCAGTGTGTAAATGTGTCCAAGGAAAAGGAGCAGGCCAAAGGCTCAGAGCTCTTCAGAGTGGGAATAAAATCAGTCAGATCAAGTGCTGCTGAGAGGTTGATTATGTTCAGAACTAAAAGGGGTTTGCTTTATTCAGTTGTTAACTTCTCCCCAATGAAACTAAACCACAGGCAACTTGCGAATAAGAACTATAACGGTATCTGCCACCTTCCGGTGGGCACCGAGCAAGTAACTGACACCCACTAGTAAACGAGTATGCCTCTGACTCTCAGGGAAATGGCAAAGAATGCAGGGGGGTGAAATCAATGCTAAGTCCATTCATGTATCCTCCCACCCGAATTATCTGGAGGCACTCCATGGTCCAGTGATGTCTGTCATATCCCCATGTCAAGGCAAGTGTGCAACAGAGGCAGACATAAGACTCTAACCCAACCCCATACCTTTCTAAAAACCTTTACCACAAGCAGGGCCCTTGTTCATCGCTCTATGGGCAGCTTCCATCTTGGGCTCTTCCCCCTGAGAACCCATTCTACTGCTTTAGTCCTCGATTTTCCTTTTTTTAATTTTTTTTCTTATTTCTTATTTATTTTTAGAGACAGAGGAAGGGAGAAGGAGAGAGAGATGGAAACATCAATGAGAGAGAACATCGACTGACCACCTCCTGCATGCCTCCCACTGGGGATTTGGCCCACAACCCTGGCATGTGCAGGAATCAAACCGGCAACCTCTTGGTGCATGGGTCGATGCTCAACCAGTGAGCCACACCAGCTGAGCTAGTCCTCTATTGTTTAGTCCTCAATACACAGGGCAGAGCAAAAGTAGGTTTACAGTTTGAGTACATGAAACAGTTCGTTATTATTTATTATCATCGTATCACCTTCCATATGAACAACTGTAAAGCTTTTGCCTCACCCTGTAGTTTAGATGTCTCCCTTGCATCTCTCTTGCTATGGTTCAGCCTATTCTTTTTTTTTTTTTTAATACTTTTATTGATTTTTAGAGAGAAAGGAATGGAAAGGGGTGGAGAGAGAGACATCGATGTGAGAGTGAAACAGCGAAGCATTGATTGGCCGCCACCTACACACCCCATATCAGGAATCGAGCCCACAACTCAGGCATGTGCCTTTGACCAGGGAACTGAATTGGCAACCTTTTGGTGCACTGGATGATGCCCAACCGAGCCACACTGGTCAGGGCTGGTTCAGCCTATTCTTTTTTATCTTCCACCTAAAAACTGAATTTTACCAGGAGTTCAAAGAGAGCAAGTAGGTTACAGACCAATGAGGGTGGGGACATTTAGGGGAAAAGGACTATCATTGGGGTAGAGAGACACTAGAACCCAGACTCTCCATCTCTTCATCCAATCCAAATACCCACATCTGCCAGAGCCATTGGCAAGAAAAATCTGGAATCTGCACCCAAGGATCTGCATTCAAAACCTAGCTCTGTGACCATGGGCACATTACTTCTCTGTATCTTGTAATCTGGTAGGCTCCTTGAGACAGGGGAAATAATAATCCATATTTGATGGGGTTGCTGTGAGGATCCCGCGGGTGAAGAAGTACTTTTATAAACTGCTCAGCTAGTAATTAAGTAAGCAATTAATATGCTCTGGCTCCAGGATCACTCATACTCCAATCCCCAGACACTTCCTCTGAGACTTGGAAAAGAGGTGGTATAAATAAATCCTGGTGTTAGTATGACTAAATAAAGAAGTCTCACACACACACAAACACACACACACCCCCCTCAGACCAAAACCACCACTTCAAACACACCCAGGAGGGAAGCTAATGCCATTGTGTTTCCCCTACAGATAAATTTCACACCAGACAAGGGTGCCAGCCCCCTCCCAGCCCTTTGTTCTGAGCTGCTCAGCCTAGAGCCTACCTCTCTCCCAGCTACTTACTAAAGACCTAACATAAACCCTGCTCCCCTGGCCTGCTTCTCCCACCCCACCAAGCCAACTCGGGGTGCCCAAAAAGTGACAAAACATGCTCCTCCCTCCCCTCCCAATCAGAAGGACCAAAAATGAACCCAATTTCCAAGAACAATTTCTGTCACCTCAAGTACCCAGGGAACTAATCCCAGCACCGGAGAACTGGAAGGCGGGATAGTGGTAAGCAAAGAGAAGGGCAGAAGTTTCCCTGGTATAATCAGTCTCAGGAATCAGAGGTTTGGAGGGTCTCCAGGGTGGGCAGCGTTCCCAGGAAGGAGAGTGGGGGCAGGGATCATCGGATCAGATCAACAAGTGGAAATGAAGGGAAGCCGGACTTGGTGTGGGGCAAGGAGGGCCTTGGTTGGGGGAAGGGGAGTGGCAGGCTGTAAAAGGGAATATGTCCCATTACTTTTCACCTTGTCCCCACCCCCAAGACACACAAACTTACTCAACTCAGTCCTCCGCTCAAACCAACCATGGATTATCTGGGGTTAAAAGGAGACCACAGAGGAGAGAGGGAGGGAGAGTGAGCCTGTCATAAAAGGGAGACCCTTTTCCCCTCCAAAGGCCTTTCAGAAATAAAATTAATGGAATGTGTCTCAGTATCATCTCAAGGGGATGGTGGGGGGAGGGATGGGGGAGATGTGGGGGCTTTTGTCCCAGCTGCCCAGCTTCTCCCACATCGATCACCATGGCAACCAAAGCCCCCTGTTGCCTAGGTGATGGCAGCCGGGTCCAGGAACCCATACCCAGTATCCAAAGCAAGGGAGGTTATAGGGGGGTGGGGGTTAGGGACAAAGGGGGAGAGAATGGGGTTTCTCCTCTGGCGGCCCCAGCTTTTGTCTGTGCTCTGGGATCAGGTTTCTTCAGGAAACAATTGGAGGCCTCTGGAAAAAATACACTCAGAACCTGGCAACAGGCAGAAGCAAGGCCCTAGGGGGAGGGGAGAAGGGGAGGTGGGTGTTGGCCATAATGCAGACCAAGACCCTT